CTGAGTGCACTTCCATCTAAGTTCTCGCTGATCCGATCCAATAGTTCATTCGCTTTCTTAGTAATCTAATTTGAGAACACATTTAAAACTCACTGCATTCAATGCTTTCAAACTGTAACTATTTTTCTCCGCTTCTATGAGGGTGGAGGATAGAGTCCTCTGTTGGGATATTGGTGTGGGTGCAGTGTAAGGTGGTGAGGTTTTGTGGGGACTGTGGGGCAGTAGGATTGAAGGGGGTGATTTTTGACATGAGAGTGGTCACTTGAATTAGGGAAAGGGTGGGGATTCTAGTGGAAAGGGTCTAATGTGGGCTGAGAAGGCAGCAAAGAGATGGAAGAGGACGTTCAGTGTTGAGTGTGGATCTGGAATTTGTTGTTTTGTGTGAAACTGCAGGACTATTGGCCCATACGATGCAGTTCCTCTTTATATCCACCCCTGTATACATTATTCGTGGTGTTGTAGGTTGCTGATGCCCCTTATCTCTGTGACTTTTCCCATCATCTGCTGTGTGTGGGTGTATTCGGGTGTGAATGGGTGTTGCTGTATGTATAGGTAGGTGTCTGGAGAGATGTACATAGATATGTGTTAGTGGGGTTCGGTATGTTTGTGTATGTGTGTGTGTGTGTGTGTGTTGGAAACAATATACAAAATGTTGTATTTTGGCTACAAACATTGAGTGTCCTCCTACATAAGATTGTATAATTGTATTTTCCCTTATTAAAATGCAGGTGAAAAATATTTTGTGAATTACCTTCAGATGCTTCCCTAAATATGAGAGGATCTTCATCATGAGCAAAATTAGTATAACATTAAGGACCAGTTATCGTGTAATGAATGTATCGACCGGTGCTCGTATCTCTAGAGGCACTGGTGCTTGCGTGCGTGCGTGCGTGCGTGCGAGCGTGCGTCTACTAACCATGATGCATTCACTTAGGTGTGTTTTCATGGTCGAGGGTCAGTTTAAAAGTCCGACCTTTCGAACAATTTGTAGCCCAATACAATGAGTATTCTTTCATATTTACTTTTGTTTCAATATAATTAAAAAATAGTTTACTGAGTCATCTTAAAGCACTTCATTTAATCGATTTTATTTATTTATAACTGAAACACCAAATAAAGTCTTTCTGAAATCTCTGAGAGTTTTTATTGTCCGGCTTTCATCCATGTCCCCGATTTTGTATTTCCTAATATAAAAAATGTATTCGTGGTTTATCAGGCCTCCAGATAACCATATATATCGCAAACATATTTCCTCTGCCCCTTCCTTCTTTCACTATGATGAGATCCAGCTCGCTCAGTTCTTCAATTAACTTTGAACCCTTAGAACTGGAATGAATCTTACTGTAGATCTTTGTTTCTTTTTAAGACTTGTTTTGTGCTCTTCGGGGTCTGGCTTCATTCCACGGTAGCATAAGCAAATAGCTGTTGCAGGCGATGAGTCACAATAACGTGGCTGAAGTATGTTGACCAGACCACACACTAGAAGTTGAAGAACTTTCTCTACCTCCTCATCACAATCGACTTGAGAATGGTCCAGGATGGACCGAAACGTCGTCGTCCCTTCAACTTCTATTGTGTGGTCTGGTCATCAAATAGCTGTTCACTAATTCCATATTCCACTCGGGAGGCTCATTTGCCAAAGTTTTAGAACCCAATTAAGATATCGACCAAAGAAGTATACAATAGCCAAGTTGGTGTCCAAATGTTACGACGGCTCCCAGGGCCCCACTAATTTGTATAAAGGTATCTGTCTCCCTGTCATTGTCTGCTACTCCTTTACTGTCTCCCTCTCATTCTCTGACTCCCCATTACTCACTGTTTCAACATCATTTTCTAATAACGTATGGGGGTTACTTTTGTTTCTATTTTCCTAAGTATATACGTGTCTGGGTGTGTGTGTCGAAGCTGTTTATGAGACCAATGTATGGACTCCCTCACTTGTGGGCACCAGACTCGTGTACTCATGTATATGTGCTTCTTCTCTCACCTTGAAACAATGTATAGGAAACAATGATTAATAAAAGTGATAAAAATGTAAATATTGTACCAAAAGAGTTTGATCACTTAAAGATCAACCTATCCTTAGGCCAGGCTCGTCATAGCTGTTGCTGTCCCCAAAGACCCGTTCATCAATTTAAAGGTGTTGTGTAATTAAAACAGGTTTCTTCTCATATAAATTAACATTGTATTTTAAAGATTTATGTATAGTTAGTCGTAGGTTAGGAAAGAGGTTTGGGGTTCTGTTGGCGATTATTTGTATTTAACGGACGTGGGTGAAGCATTTACAGCGTTCGAATTAAACAGAGGTCGTCAGTGAAGCACTTGTTCCGGACGTGTTTGTACGTCATCAGTTGTTAGTCGTGTGTAAACCATTTTTCGTTCATAAACAGGTGGTTTGGCGGGTGCATGAGCGAGCATTTGACCTTGTTGAAGACTGCCTGTTGTTGATGAGGACGGTCTGTTGTTGGTGAGGACGGTCTGTTGTTGATGAGGACGGTCTGGTGTTGATGAGGACGGTCTGTTGTTGGTGAGGACGGTCTGTTGTTGATGAGGACGGTCTGGTGTTGATGAGGACGGTCTGTTGTTGGTGAGGACGGTCTGTTGTTGATGAGGACGGTCTGGTGTTGATGAGGACGGTCTGTTGTTGGTGAGGACGGTCTGTTGTTGATGAGGACGGGCTGGTGTTGATGAGGACGGTCTGTTGTTGTGAGAACGGTCTGTTGTTGTGAGAACGGTCTGTTGTTGATGAGGACGGTCTGGTGTTGATGAGGACGGTCTGTTGTTGGTGAGGACGGTCTGTTGTTGGTGAGGACGGGCTGTTGTTGATGAGGACGGGCTGATATTGATGAGGACGGGCTTTTAAAAAGAAATGGAATTCTTTTTAGTCTGAAATAACTTGTTCAGTATCTTGAAGTGAAATTGAAAGGTACTTTCGTTCACTATTAACTGTCGTGTACTGTGTTTCAGATAATTTTTATAATTTATTAATTTTATCATTCATTCACTCAACCACACTCTCCTCTCTCTCTCTCTCTCACTTCCCTCTTCTCTTTCTCTTTCTCTCTCTGCCTCTCTCGCTTTTATCCTGATACCTACAACCTTACCTACCACCCTCTCTCTTCTCTGTCTTCCACAAACCCTTCTCGAACAGCTTTTCTGTCTCACCTCACACTCTAACACACTCTCACTCATACACACTCTGCCTGTGTGTGTGTGTGTGTGTGTGTGTGTGCGCGCGTGCGTGCGTAAAAGAGGAGCAATTATCAAAAACACAGAAACAAGGAAGGAAGAAATCTTTTCTTCAGATAAGAATAAATTCTAACAATAAAAAATCAAATGTCTACATTTGGCATGTGCAATTTATTTTACAATGAAAGTGCATAACACCTCATCAACAACAGCCCATCCAGCATGCATGCGTCATGTGATCAGCATGCATCCTGTTATCATGGGTGTCATGTGACCATGATGGGAAGGGAGATGTTGGGGAGAAGGAGCATGGTGGGGAGGTGGGGCATAGGCATAATTGGGAGGAGGGGGCATGATGGGAAGGATGGCATGGTGGGTGGAATGGCCATTTGGTGGGAAGGGAGGGATACCTATTGGGAGAACCACTGTCTAGACATAAATAGACAATTATTGGAGAGAAAGAGCCACTTGGTGGAGATCAAGGGAGAAACTAACCCTTATCCCCCACCCTAAACTGACCCTTATCCCACCATTTCAGGCTCTTCCTTATCACGCCCTTCCAAACTACCTCTCATCCTGACCCTCAAAACTCTCCCTCATCCTACCGCTTATCTTCCTCATCAGCGTATCCAATTACTGAGGAATCCTTCAGTTAATCCTCCAAGAAAATTAATTATTTTCCTTCCCGTTTCTGTTCCTTTCCCCTGAGTATTTTCCTGTTGACCTACACCGTATGTGTAATATTTTAATTTATAATTCTTTGTTCAAAATTTACATTAAAGGTTGGCATAATTTCTTGTCATCTATACCTGTCTTTCATTCCTTATTTACACCACCTCTCTCTCTCTCCCCCACCTACACCAGCACTACCCATTGTTTACACAACCTCTCTCTCCACCCACTTACACAACGACTACCCACTACCTTCAACATCATACGGCCTTAATTACATTATAATATCCCCACGTATTGTATAATGAACCTCACCATCACCACTCACACCATCACTAGCACCAACACCACCCACTGAGGATCTTAGTAACTTATCGGAGCATTTATCCTTTCTTCAGTGACTCTTGCAACATATATTATTAAGCCATTGCAAGAGCTGAAAAAATCTACGATCATAAATATGTGATATTGCCCTCCAAAACGTAATCTAACAGGATTTTCGCTGCTAAATTTAAAGTTTCATTAAGTTTTATTTATGAAAAACTTTGTTAAACACATATAATTCTTATTAAAATCCAAATCAAAGATATTTCGGCGATTGTAATTGAATTACTCTCTTATTTTCCATGGTTTTATTATACATATTATTTTCATAAAATTCTTTTAACTATTACTGAGTTATTAGATTATTTTCAAGCTTTCCAACAAACTTTAATTGAAATTCAAATTAAATGATACAAGCCATTTTACAATGTAATTATTATCTATAGTCTATGGGCTAGTAATCTATTATATACACGAATATTTCAAAATTAATTGGGGTTTTCTCAGGAATACCAATTCAATATTATTTGCGGTATCGTCCGATGTATTTTCACTGACACTGCTTATGAGTTGTGAGTTCAGCCTCAGGTTTTATGAATCGTAAATAATTTTGAGCACAAAACCGATTGCAATTGAATTAAATAACTTTTCCATATTTTTCGGCCATATTTATTTGGATATATCACCCAAAGAAAGTTCTTTTTATAATTGTGTATTATGTGTCGAGTATATTTTATATGCGTCTTAACTTTAGACGCTGTGAAAGGAATAAAATATGTAGAATATAATATCTGAAATTATTTTTGGGGTTACAGAGGATGCGCTGCCGGGCGCACGAGCGAGCATCTGGACAACGTGACCCAGACCATCGAGATGCTGTTGGACGGGTACGACATCAGACTCAGACCAAACTTCGGAGGTGAGTGTACTTGGCCGCTCCCTGGGAGGCTGCTCCTTAGTGTGTGCTACGTTCGTGTGTCCCACTCATCCACGGTGTATACTGTTCCATTATGTCCCACTCATCCACGGTGTATACGGTTCCATTATGTCCCACTCATCCACAGTGTATACTGTTCCATTACGTCCTCATGCATCCGCACCTGACACAAGAGGCCTGTCACCTGACACAAGAGGCCTGTCACCTGACACAAGAGGCCTGTCACCCAAAGCGAGAGACATGAAACTCCAACACACATCTAAGAATTTCCTTCCATCCTATATAATTCCTCACCTAATACTAGATGTATACCAAACCTCATTATTGATGAGGTTTGACCTTGAGAGATACCGTATGAAACCGATTTTCATTTATTTACCTAAAAACCGTGAAGGTTTTTTCTCTCAATATACTACTTATATATGAGTATTCGCTCATTTGATGGTTAAATATTAATTATGTTTTGTTTTAGAGAGACACCAACTTATTACTATTGTGACAACTGCAAGGACTCATTAATCCCTTAGTTGACACCGGAAGAAACTTCTAAAGAAAGAGTGAGAATTTTGTGGAAAAAATTTACGCAGAAACTTTTTACGCGATTTTAAAGTTAAGAGTTTTTACACGCACTAATTACGTCCTTAGTTATTTTCCTCCGGTCTAGGACATGCTGGGAATGTTACTTTAGACAAGAATAATTGACGTCTCTCTCTCAACTCTTAATATATAGGTGAAAATAATGGCGAAAACTTTACTTGGTTTATATATAATGCTGTTAAATATGACCGAAAAAGTAAGATTAATAATTCTAACACGAATTTTCTCAATATTTCTTGTGTTTCTTTTTGCTGTCGATGGTAATTGAAAAATCAGTTCTCCAAAATTCATTTTTATTTTTAGTCTGACGCGACGCTTGAACGCGTTTCGTAATAACTTATTACATTTTCAAAGACTTCATTTTACACACACACACAACTGTAACCTGAAAACACTTAACAGAGTTTTACTTATTTTAATGCTAAACAGCTTGTCTTATATACTCACATTTGGGTGAGGTGATATGTTGCAACAGTTTTGGATGAGGTGAACAAACTTTTGACCAACACAAGACAGAACACGGTGCAATGGGTATAAATTGGATAAGTGAGAGGGAAGAATGGAAGTAACTGCAAAGGGCCTATTGGCCTATATTTCCTCTTGATGCTTCTATATTGGTATGGAGTATTGAAGTGGGTAGAATATAGTTGTGCATTAATTGGCTGTTGGTAGTGGAGTGTGTCAGGGTGTGGGTAGTGGAGTATGCCAGGGTGTGGGTAGTGGAGTGCGTCAGGGTGTGGGTAGTGGAGTGCGTCAGGGTGTGGGTAGTGGAGTGTGTCAGGGTGTAGGTAGTGGAGTGTGTCAGGGTGTGGGTAGTGGAGTGTGTCAGGGTGTGGGTAGTGGAGTGTGTCAGGGTGTGGGTAGTGGAGTGTGTCAGGGTGTGGGTACGTCACACTAGGGACAAGCTTGCCAAGTAATAACACTGCCTACACGCTCCTCATATGTCGTACAAAACATTGTTCTAACTTATGCTAAATTTTCAATTTGATGTTTAGAAATAGTTTGATATTCCTAGGAAAAGTCTTCATTATTTTATACAGTATCAATGTTTTTACCTCGATGAACTCACTTGTATGTTCATGGTTGGTCGAGCGCCAGCTCCTAGTCCCGCCTCAGGAACAGTCAGTTTTTCACGCTGTTTTAACATGTTAACATAACACTTTGGTATGTAGTATTCACTCCTCCTACTTCGTCTAACCCATTCAAGCTAATGATATTTCTAGTACTGAAGAAACTCGTTCTGTCAACTCTTTGGCTGGTATTTAGAAGTCCATCTATGCCTCTGTTGATGCGAACTATGAAGAAATCTTTGTCTTGTCAATTATCGGGTTACACCATATTCATGGGTTTTAAGCTACATATCTCGTTCTGATTGGAATTCTCGCCTGGCTTTGATGGTGAGATTATATAGGGTTGATTCAAATTCACATTTCAAATTCTAATTATCCACAGTGGTTGGACAAATACGACAGACGCTCCATGTCTCTCATGTCTCCAACTCAACATATTCATTCCTACACCTCGTGTACCTTTTCCGCCCCAAAGGCCTCTTTTCATATCTTCTCCGGATATTCCTTTAAATTTTTTTAATTGATATTAATTTGATTCAACATGTTTCCATGAACATGCATGAATATATAGACTGATGCAACATATTGACTATTTCACATTTCTTGTCTCTTCCGGTCTGAGTCTTCTCATCGCTGGTCTTATTCGGTCTCATATTTCCTCATCCATTGGCTGGTCCCCAGAGTTCCCAGAGCGTCTGTGATCAGTCTATTCAATTATACAGCGTCGCAGTGGAGTGATTTTCCTCGCTAACAGACGGCGACCTTTGGAGCTGTGACCTGGGATGTTGCAGGAGCCGTGGTCATGGTCAACGTGACCTGGGATGTTGCAGGAGCCGTGGTCATGGTCAACGTGACCTGGGATGTTGCAGGAGCCGTGGTCATGGTCAACGTGACCTGGGATGTTGCAGGAAGCTATCATCAGAGGCAACGTGACCTGGGAGCACTGTGGATCCCCCTCCCATGTTGGAATCTATGGAAATAAACGAGCAAATGTGCTGGCTGTTGAAGGTGCTCATGTAGACCATATTGAATACTTCATACCCTAGACTCATTTTTTTTTTACAAATAAGAGGTATTATCAAGCAACCTCTCTGTGATAAGGTAACTAGAAGACTAAATCTGTCAATTAGTTCTTGACTGATTACCTGCTGCAACCACACAGGTATAGTGTGGTTGCAGCTGGCAATCCCAATCATTATAGAGGAAGAGGAGGTGACCGAGGGAGAGAATCAGTACTAGCAAAAATTCGTCTCGGATACAAATATCCATGGAGATTTGGGATTGAAACAGCAGTTGAGCAGAGGAGCTGCTGAATCTGTGGTCAGACACCGCCTTGACCACTACCTGAGAGAATGTGAACATCCAAGAGACATTAAAAATGTGTGTAGGATAATAAACCCCATTTTGTTTGACTTAGGAAAATACTATTTGTCATATATAGATACTGTTCTTAAAAGATTACCCCATTTTGCACGCGCAAAATAACGTAGATTTTATGAAATGACAAATGTTAATCTTCTTGTTTGACAAGCTGTTCACTTGAGACAGTTGAACAAGTCCCAGCTGTGTCTGGGTACAGGATGAACAGGATGAACATATAAGCTGGGTTTTTTTCGTATTGGTGGTGTTGAACCTACTTCTATGGCAGCGCCACTCACAGGATGAGTGGCGCTGCCCAATATGCTCGCCCCTCGAGGAAAAATTATAGATTTAAATTAAAATGTATGGACGAATATTGTATCACTGCGTGGACGAATAATATACCCCCTCCAGTGTTTGGATGAATCAGTTTGTCATTAATTAGCATCATTATCAACAAAATCAGTTCCCTGATTAAAGAAATAAATTTAAAAAAATCTAAATTTTAGTAACAGATATGAATATTAAACCAAAATTTAAAAAAAAAATCAGGTCCTCGTAATTGAAATACATCACAAACTTTCAAAGCTTCCATGCACGGAGCATTGGAAAAAATAAATCAGAATCTATAATTCGCGATATATCAAAGTGTCTTATAAGCTTTTAATATATATTAAAAAACTTCGTATATATAAAGTTCGCAATATATTTATATAGAAGTAAAAGCCTTGGCATTTTACGCTTGCGATATATGCAAATCCTTGGAATATTTTGCATTTGCAATATATGTGAAAGCTTCTAATGCTTAAAGGCGAAGTATATTTAGCGCCGGACCAGGCAACCTACCTGCTCTGCCTTACTCACCTAAACCTTGTTTTAAGGTGAGAATGCTCCAATAATGTTTCAGATTATCCTTCCAAAAGGGATAAGGTTTCGCATATGCTTTCAGACTGATCTGAAGGTGAAAACTCTCAAGACTGACCATCATTGGGTTACAATATTTCTCTTATACTTCAAATTGATCTTCCGAGATGCTCCATTAATGTTCCAAGATGTCATTTCAAACGAGTGACTCCTTCCCTAATTCAGATTGACCTTCCAGGAGTGATAATGCTCCGCATATGCTCAAACTAGTTCTTCCAATGCATCTACTAAGGTTCTAGCTCTTTTAGGCAAGCATGCTCTGCTTTTGTTCCAGACTGATCTTTGAAGGCTGTGAATGCTCAATAATGCTTCAAACTTATCTTCCTACGGAGATAATGCTCTGCTAATGCTCAAAACTGACCGAGCCATATTTAAAGTTTCCTCAAATTATTTAGTGTCCTTATACAAGTGAAAATTCTCCGATAATGTTCCAAACTGATGTTTAAGGTTAGAATATGCTCCGATAATATTCCATGTTAACTCATTCCAATTGTGTGAATTTAACTTTAATGTGCAGTATTGGCCTTCCAAAGATGGGGAATGCTCATTCATTCCTCTAGACTCGTCATACGAGCATGACACTGCTATGATAATGCTCCAGGCTCACTTTATACTGGTGATAATGAGCCAGATAATGCTCAAGATTTACTTTTAACGTGTGATAATGTTCTGATAACGTTCCAGACTGGCCTTCCATTGATTAAAATGTTCAAATGATGCTCCAGAGTGACTTTTCTTGTGAGAGCTTACCCTTATAATACTCGAGACTAGACTTTCAATTGTGAACATAGTCTAATAATTCTTCAGACTGACACTCCTAGGTTGAAAATGGTACCTAGATGTTCCAGGCTGACCTTCCAGCGGTGATAATGTTACCCAAATGCTCCAGGCTGACCTTACAAGCAACGCGAATCTTTGATAATACTGAAAACTTTCTTTTTGTAGAGAATAATCCTTCGATAAAGTTCCAGATTAATTTTCCAATATTCAGTAACCTTCCAAGGGTATATGCAAATTCCAGGAGAAAGTGAA